GGCACTTAACAACAACAACAACAGTTGAATACTTTTGTATAGTCAATAAAGTAAACATTTTTTCTGATATTCTCTGTAAGTAAACATCTTTCGGATATCCTCTGCTTTCAGCCAAGATCCATCCGAGGCCAGCAATTATATCCCTCATACCATACATATCCTCTTCAGAATCCAGCTCACTGTCCATTTGTGCTGCAACCATTTTTTAATTCTCTTCAGTAAAATTTTACTTGCTATGATACTAATGATGTTGTTGTTGCTGTTAAGTGCCATCGAGTTGGTTCCAACTCATAGCGACCCAGTATAGGGTTTCCAAGGAGCAGCTGGTGAGTTTGAACCGCTGACCTTGTGGTTCAAACAGACTTTATACTTCAATAATTTCCTATTCTGTTGGACTACCTTTCTTTGGATGAGCACAACTTCCATTTGATTGGCCAGGTAGCTGTCTTCCCAAATTCCCTGCCATAGAATGGTGAATGTTTCCAGCACTGTATGAGTGTTTTGAAAACATTTCCATTATATTTTGGCAATTCCTGGAGCCTTGTTTTCCATGCAGCTAGGACGCTTTCCTTCAATACCACTGCTTCTTGATCATGTGCTATCTCCTGAAATAGCTGAATGTCAGCCGATGCTTATTGGTACAATGACTCTGTGTATTCCTTCTATCTTCTTTTGATGCTCCCTGTGTCTTGCAATATTTTGCTCATTGTTAAATGTCATCTCCGAATCACAGTGACCCTGTACAGGGTTTTCAAGGCTGTAAATCTTTACAGGAGCAGAAAGCCTCATCTTTTTCACGTGGAGTGACTGGTGGTCTCGAATTGCCCACCTTGTTGTTTCAGTCCACTGCTTAGGCTACAGAGCCACCCTGCTCCCTATTTTGCCCATTGTTGTTGTTTAGTTCCATAGAATTGGTTCTGACTCATAGCAACCATGTATGGGTAGGGTTTCCAAGGAGCTTCTGGTGGGTTTGAAATGCCAACCCTGTGATTAGCAGTACAGTGATTACCTTATAAGTGCCACACCTTAACATTGCAACCCGAGGCTTGAGATTTTTCTTATTTTTCGTCTTCAACTTGAAAAATACTGAATGTGCTCATTCCTTTTGGTTTTCAAACTCCAGACCTTTGTACATTTCATTGTAATACTTTACTTTGTCTTCTCAAGCTGGCTTTTGGAAATTTCTGTTCAGTTATCTTACTTCATCATTTCTTCCATTTGCTTTAGCAATGGAACAAGTTTCAGAGTCTCTTCAGACATCATCCACTTTGGTCTTCTTTCTTTCCTAGCTTTTTAATGATTTTTGTCTTTCTTACCATATGATGTTCTTGATGTCATCCACAACTTGTCTTTGGTCATTAATGTTGAATCCATCAAATGTGCTCTTGAGATAGTCTCTAAATTCAGGTGGAATATACACACAGTCATGTTTTGGCTGTCATAACCTTGTTTTAAATTTATCTTCAGCCTGAACTTGCATATGAGCAATTGATGGTCTGTTCCACAGTCAGCCCCCATGCTTCTACTGGGCATTGCTATTTAGCTTCTTCATTGTCTCTTCTCACAATACAGTCAGTTTGATTCTAGTGTATTCCATCTGGCAAAGTCCATATGTATAGTCACTGCTTATGCTGTTGGGAAAAAAGTATTTGCCCACATGGCACAAGCTATTGGTCCAAGTCCACACTGCCAGATACCAGGCTACATCAGTCCCTCTCAGTTCTGAGTACATGGAACTCTCAGTCTCTCGCCACCCAACTGGCCACGGCTTCCTTTCACAGGCACATCTGACCAGACCCATCCATGCAGCCAGACAGTGGAGAGAGGGTCTATGCCTGTGTTGAGATTCTCTGGGTCAACTTCTGGGTCTCAGAACCAGGCTCCTGAACAAAGGGGGTTTATTATGTGGGACTTTTTAAAACAAGCCTCAGCAAGTTAATGTGGCCCATATCAGACCAAATGCTTCCCCTTCCCCCGGATATATTATGAAGTGACTTTATTATGTTTGTTTCAAATGGCCTGGATGCCCCTGCAATTTCCCCATCAGGTTCATATTACCCTCTGGAAAACATTCTCAACCTCTCCTGATGCCATAACATTCAATCCACCCACATAGTATTCTTGGCTTATCAATGGGAGTCTCCAGCAAGCCATACAAGAACTTTCTATCCCCAACATCAGGGGAAAACAGAGTGGACACTACACCTCTTATCATAACCCTGCCACTGGCCTCAGTAGAACCAAGGTCAAGACTATCACCATCTCTGGGAAATGGCTCCCTGGAGCTTTGACACTGAGCTCAGGAATGGAAGTCTGTCAGTCTGATTTCAAGAAAAAGCAATGAAGAGGATACTTCCTAACCTGCATCCCTCGATCACACGCGGACCCCCAAATACTTCTCCCGAGCACTCCAACCACAGTAATCTGTGCAGATTATTCCTTTGTTCTTCTTATTTCTTAGAGCAGACCTTGGGCCCAGCCTGAAATGACAGAAAGGGGTGCTCTCAGCTCCAGAAACCTTGTATGGTAAGAGAGAGAGGGAAGATTTGTTAAGATAAAGTTGCTTCTCTGTATCACTAAGGCATGTCCATTTCTGTCACCTCTTTTTCTTCCTTCACTAACTCCATGCACTACCGGAAACATACAAGACTTTGAAACAAGCTCATGCTTTTGCTCAAATGAGAGGATGGAATGGCCTCTGATGGTGTAATGGGAAGGATGGGACTCTGTCTCATTTCTCTGCTGCCAGTCACCAGTACACAGAGCCTATTCTGACACCATCTGTCATTGGACCAGAGAGGATGGAACTGGTGCATGTGAGCCATGTCCTAATCCTATTGAAAAATAAAGCCCATCGATGCCAGAGCAACCTGGGCTTCTGCTTCAAGGAAAGGGAGACAAAGTTCTAGTTTCATAGCAGATTCATCTAAGATCCGTTGTTGCTGAGGTAACACTGGCACAGATGTTGCTCAAAGGAAAATGATGAATCAAACTTGGAAAAATCTTTTCACAGGGGGAGGAGAGAGAAGTGTGCAATTTATTGTTGTTGCTGTTGTTAAGTGCCATCGAGTTGGTTCTGACCCATAGTGACCCTGTATAGGGTTTCCAAGGAGCAGCTGGTGAGTTTGAACCGCCAACTTTGCAGTTCAAACAGCTTTGTAGTCTGGCACATTAACCCACAGAGTTAAAACTGTAACCACTTATCTCTAGCGATCTCCAGACTCTGTCTGGTAAAGATATACATTCTTGGAAACCCTATGTAGGGTCTATGAGTCAAGATCAACCCAATGACTGTGTTTGGGTTTGTTTTTTCCAACCCAGAGATGGGAAGACTGTGAGCCTGCTTTTCCTACATACATTTGTGCCATCAAGTGGGTATTGACTCATAGCGACCCTATGCCCAACAGAACGAAACACTGCCTGGTCCTGGGCCAACCTCACAATTGTTGCCGTGCTTAAACCCAT